TGTGTATGTATGTATATGTGTGTGTATGTATGTGTGTATGTATGTATATGCATGTGTATGTATGTGTGTATGTATGTTTATGTGTGTGTATGTATGTATGTATGTATCTATCTATCTATCTATCTATCCACATATCGGAAGCGTGGCTTACCCACACCTTTACCAATGTTGAGTGCTTGGACAATAGCATGCTCTACTTTAATAAATTCAATTTAAATATTTAAATAAACAAGCCCAAATTACTACCTATATGTTTACTGTTAGAAGAAATTGCTTTCATTTTTGACAAAAGTTCAAAGATAGCCAAAGGGTTGAAGGGTTTGGCCTGTGGTTCAGTGAGTTAGGCTTCTGTATTCCTGATCAGAAGATCACTGGTTCAGGTCCTGAGGTCAGTGGATTGATTTCACCATTGGTTCTCAAGCTAGGCCCTTGACTTGCTCTGGGTATTACTTGAGCCTGCTTTCTCAATTGCATGTTAGTTTGCTCATGGGAATTTTAATTACACAAAAATGTTCTGAGGGCAGAAGGAGTAATGATTGGTTCAGAGAGATAACCAATCAAATTGTAGAGGAGGTGGGACCAACCACTCAGATGTCTTGGCCTTACCTCTTCTAGTTGCTTTGATCCAGCTTCTCTACAATTTGGTTGGTTACTCTCAGTCATTGTGCCTTCTGCCCTCTGAACATTTTTGTGTAAGTAAAACTCCCATGAGCTGTTGGTTTCAATAAAGGCATCTGCAAAATTAAATATTGTGGGATCAAAGAAGCACCACAGTAGTAATTGCCACTCTAATTATACATCACTTTCCTTGTAATTAGGCCTGTTTAAAATATACTAAATGGATAAGGGGTGCCGTTGTGTTAGATGGCACCTAAGCCGTTGATTTGGCCTTCATTATTTGTGCACCAGTGACTCATGTCAGAAACCTTCACTGTATCCCCTCCAGCTGGAATAAAGAGCCTCTTCGCCATGTGATCTCCAGTAAGAGCCAACAGATCCCTTCATCACATCCCCTCCTAATCCGACAATGGGGCTTCACTTTGCATGGACACACTGCTGTTGATGACCATGTGTCATCAACAGCATTAGGGTGCTTTATTTTAACTACAAGTAATTTGCATTACAAGTATTTGTTGTCAATTTCTGAAAATGCAAACTTGCATTCCTTGCTGGCATGCTCATTTTCTGTAGTTGTAATTGTAGTTGGTGCTGTAGCCTCTCAGGGCTGTAGGCTTGAATTGAACCCCCAGCTTTTTTATATTAAATGCATGATCTGCACGGTTTCTTCCTGCATCCAAAAGCATTTCTCATGTCCCCTTTTTCCCTTAGAATGGCTCTAGGATCCTTGTGATTCTCTACTGGATAAATGATTATGAAATTTGCATGGATAACTGTATAGTGGCATTAATTGTATGTTTTTTGTGTGTCTCACAAATGCATATAATTAGTCTACTACAAACACCCTTGGGGAAAAATGCATCACAACTTCCTCATTTTCCATTTGTCATGCCACATGGCATTTTGGTATTTTTCCATTAAGTTACTTTACCTTTACCCAATCATTATCAGGAAAATAGCACTGCACAAGATAATTGACTTTCTAAGGATAGTTTCTGGGCACAAATGTATTTTATAGGGACACGATTTCACACAGTTGGCAGAATAACTGTTTACAAACTGATGATGTGTTAACGCTTCAACAACCGACATGTCATGAAATATGGCTGTATTAAAAATGCAGTTTAAGATTAGTAAAACACAAGGTACGTTATGAATTTAACGGCGAAACATAAACTTTAAGAAAAATGAAAGAGCATGAGTCATAACTGTCTTTCAGTGACATCACTCGCTGCTTTTCCCCTGATAGTAACCTCCTATCGCGACACTATGTTAATCTTCTACTCCCATTGTACCTTGGCGTTTTGATTAGCATGAAAAAATGCGAATGCCTTTGAGCTTCGTCATAGGAAAATACCAATCCGTCCAATGGCTGATGACTTGGAGGCGGGGTCTATGGAAAACCGAACAAAGATTGACAGTCACGTTGGTGATTAGGGGGCTCATTCTCGGTTTGTACTGCGCGAGAACGTTCTAGAGGTAAGTGCTTGGCCAGTTCGTGAGCAAATATATTTTGTTAAGGTTACATAAATAAGGGAGGTGAATAATTTATCATTTTGAGAAGTAGATGTGTCACTGAAGTCTTTGTACCACACGTAATTACGTGTTTCCGTAGTGAATAAGCTAGCGTATACCATCTTATGGCACATTCGTATTTAAATGCCAACTAACGTCCATGTTTGTTTCTCTTTGTGTTGTACTCATTTCAGATACCCCGACTCTGAGGGCGTCTCGTATTTTGTCCCAAAAAGGGTTTTAACTCCTCAACGTGAAGACACGATTCTACGCTATTAAGGGAACGCAGTCTGCGCTGTTGTGCGACTCGGGTGCGACCTGCGACAGCCTTCGGAACACACACACACACGCACACACACTTCACTGCGGCTCAGGGCGACCAGCGGTGTGTTTATGTCTTTATTTTACGAACACGGTGAGTACGCTCACGGCGGCCGATTCGCCGATCGTTTGGTCCGTGCGGAATGCGTGGAGCAAGATGGCGCCGCTCCTCGCGCGTACGGCTCCCCTTGCCGAGCGGTGACGCAGTCTGCGCCACTGCGCCGCGAGGGCCTGCGGCGTGAGCGCGCACTCGCGCGTGCCTCTGTGTGTGTGTGACACGCCGTTATTTAATGCTACGGGTAGCCGTGCGCGTGTATTTGTCGCTGTTGTCTCACGCGCCTGACCCCGTTTGCCTAGAGTTGCACGTCACATATCTACCCCTGACCTTGAATCTTTCATCGTCGTACTGTTTGACTTTATTACGCGATATCCGGATGTCTATGCGCGCTGTTATCAAGTCATCAGCTGATATTGTGCTGAAATCTTTAAGTTCCTGTTGCAGCAGAGCTTTTGTGGATGGTACAGGGCTCCCATCCGGTGCTGCTCCCTGTTGCTGTTATTAAAACGAATTATCCGTGTCTGTACAGCATTTCCCAGTCCTAAATAACCACATGTTGCGCAGCTAAAATTACAGGGCGGTGTCTGGTTAGAATGCACCAGGCTTAACCGAAAATTTGCCAGGAAAGATAGCACTCAGTCTCTCTCTCTTTCTCCTCTGTTTCAGAGCTGTTGCGCAGCCGTTGGAACCTGTGTGGGGTACACGTAACCTGCAAGCAAGGGAATTGCAGCCTCGGGGGCAAAATCTTTTTCATGTCAGAGGCCGAGTACGCTTACAGTCGTTTATGTCATCCACTCTTCTCCAGACAGAAGATACCAAAAAATTGCCCTCAAAGATCTTTTTATTCCACTGATAAAGTTGACACAGAGCCAAAATGTCTGTCAACGTCAACCGCAATGTGTCAGACCAGTTCTATCGCTACAAGATGCCCCGTCTGATTGCAAAGGTACGTATGCAAGAGGGGCCATTTTATTCATTAATATGGTTGATGCTGGATCAGCTGTTGCCACAGGCAGTGGATGTGACCCGCTTTGGGTATCTTGCAGGCCTTTCAATAAAGGGGTCACAGTACTTGGAAGTGGGGGATGGTTTTCTATTTAAAGGCTGTTATTTTTAATGATTTCCGCTTCGTGTGAATCTAAGGGAATACGAGGCTCTTGAGTCTCTGTCCTACTTTAGAACTTAGAGCAGCTCTCAGATGCTGAAGGTGAAAATTTTGTGCTGATGGCTAGTCAGACACAGGCAGACCACCCCTCTGTGGGTCTGTTGTGCTCTTGGAAGTGTTCAATTTCTGAGAATTGAATCGGTTTTGGGCGACATTCCTCCTGAGCCCCCTTTCTATTCTTTCTTGACAGGTGGAAGGCAAAGGAAATGGAATCAAGACGGTAATAGTCAACATGGTTGATGTTGCGAAGGCATTGAATAGGCCTCCGACGTGTGAGTATACTTTTTCTCTGTGGCTTGATTGTCTGTATGGTTATTGCAGCTTTCTCACTCCTGTCATTTCTTCCAGATCCCACCAAGTATTTTGGCTGTGAGCTGGGCGCCCAGACTCAGTTCGACGCTAAGAATGACCGCTACATTGTCAATGGATCTCACGAGGCGAACAAGCTGCAAGACATGCTGGATGGATTCATCAGAAAGTTTGTGCTGTGCCCTGAGTGTGATAATCCTGAAACCGACCTGGTAAACAGCTTGGGCCGGGGCTCTGGGCATGGTTATTCATCCAAGGGAAACATTGTGACGAGATGCTGGCCTATGAAGGGTGGATTGGTTTGGGGGGGGACACGTGACCTGTGGATGCTAAGGCTCTGGTCCATTTTCCAGTGCCAAATTCTGCCACCACGTGCCAGTGGGATTTGTTTGGCAGCAGGGCTTTTTAGCAGCTCTCCTGCAAGTATCTCTGTTTTAATTATGGTTTTGGCAGGCAGACTGTCTAGGGGTGCTGTTACATTATACTACGTTGTCAGGGATTAGGCTGTATATGGTTATTACAAGCTGACCATTTTCTGGTAAAATGTCTGCCTGTATCGTGCTGTTAGTCCTGGGCTCGACCTCCTCTGAGGCCCCCGTGCTAATTATTACCAAAGCGTGTTTTCCAAAGGGGGGTCCCCACTGGCCTATTTTGCTAATGAATGTGAAATCAGACTGTGGGACTGGGGTTACATGTCTATAGTGGAGGTCTTCTGCGTGTGTCTGTCAGCTGGTTTTCACTCACTTTCTGGGCTGTGTGTGGAGGGGGAGTAGCATTTATGATGTGGGTGGTGTGTGATCAGGGAGTTAAGCCCTATGTGACAGTCCTAAGCTCCTACATGCTTCTGTTTGAAGCTGAGGTCTGCAAAACATGCTTTTTAGCCCAGATTCAGGCCCCTACTGACCTCTTGGAACTCATTGCCTTTGCTCCTCTAGTTCTGCCATCCATGACTTCCAGCTGTTTATTGTAGTTGTGTTGGACTTGTTTGTGTGGTCCATTTGACTTGGTCCCAGTGACTTCTGTAACCTGTGGCCAGATCAGCTTTAACAGCTTCCTTCTCTTGATTGGTCGACATGTTTCTGACCTTCCTCATGCCCCCCCCCTTCCTTCTCAGCATGTCAATCCCAAGAAACAGACCATCGGTAACTCCTGTAAGGCCTGCGGGTACAGAGGCATGCTCGACACACGACACAAGCTGTGCACGTTCATCCTGAAAAACCCACCAGGTGAGCCAAGTGCCTTGTCACCTTGAGAGCACTGTCTGGCTGCTGCCCTTGGGGGGAGGGGGGCTCCTTATGTTGCCTGGTTTGTGTTGCTTTTGAGTTGCACACATCTTGCACCTATTGAAGTGGTTGTGTTTTCTGCAACTACTTTTAGATGAGCTGTTGATGTCACTGGTTCCTTATCCTTATGCCCACTCAGGTCACTTTCACTAGCATCAGTCGTCTGCATTTTTTTTACTCTGATCGCCTTTCTTAAATTGCAGAGAATGATAACGGATCTGTCAAGAAAGAGAAGGAAAAAAAGAACCGTAAGAAAGACAAAGAGAATGGTTCTGGCTCTGGAGACACTGCAGATCACGGCGACATTGATGCCCCTGATGCAGTGGTGAGTGTGTGTGTCTGTCAGCAGGGGGCAGTCAAATGCTTGTCAGTGAGTGAGAGCTTGATGGAGTCTGAAGTCTGTTAGAATCATCTATCCTAAACTCAATCCCTGGGTTGCTTGAAGGACCGAGATGATGAGGATGAAGACTGGGCGGAAGAAACTACCGAAGAGGCACAGAGGAGGAGGATGGAAGAGATCAGCAATCATGCCAAGAACCTGACTCTCACTGATGACCTGGAGAAGACCCTGGAGGAAAGGGTCAACCTGTTCTACAGCTTTGTCAAGGTGGACCTCATTCCTGCGAGCCGAACCCTGGTGTCTGTTTTTGGTTGGATGCTTGTCCAAGGGCCCTCGCCATATGGTGTTAGGTAGTTGGGGTCTTGTGTGTGTGTGTGTGTGTGTGTGCTTAAACATTGCTGTCCTTCAACAGCATAAGAAGGAGGATGGTGCCATCGATTCAGCTGATAAGGAGATCTTGGCGGAGGCGGAGCGCCTGGACGTGAAAGCCATGGGACCTCTGATCCTGAGCGAGCTGCTTTTTGATGAGAACATTCGTGACCAGATAAAGAAGTACAAGCGCCATTTCCTCCGTGTAAGTGGCCTCCTGCCTTTTCACCTGTTTGCTCCAGGAATGGCAGGGTTGAAGCAAGGAATGTGTTTTATGCCGGGGGAATTTAGTGTGCATCATAGTATCTAATGGTTGGAGAATTAGGACCGTGTGTGTGACTGTGACTTTTCCCCCTGTATAAACCTTAAACAATTTACCAAGAGGATGAGTGAGTAGATCAGGGCTCTTTAAATCTGGCCCTCAAATCCAGGCCTTGCTTTTAGTTCTTCCCGGTAGTTTAATAAGTGCTGATTTCAATTGGCCAGAGCCTTCACACCTGTCTCATAGGTAAAAGGAAGCTGGAAAATCAGTAGTGCTTGGCCTTTGATGACCATGATTTCAATAGCCCTACAACAGAGGGAGGAAGCTGTTTGCATGTCTTATTTATAATCCTTGCCTGACCCCTTGTGGACAGTTTTGTCACAACAACAAGAAAGCCCAGAAGTACCTCCTGGGTGGCTTCGAGTGTCTGGTGAAGCTGCATCAGGCCCAGCTGCTGCCCCGTGTGGCCATTGTGCTGAAGGACCTGTACGACGCCGATCTTCTGGAGGAGGATGTCATTCTGGCCTGGGCTGAGAAGGTGGCTCTAATGCACAATATACTCACTGGCTTATCTGGCAAATTAGTTTTCTGTTGGGGGGGTGGTATGGTGTGGTTAGAAATTCCAAGGCTGCAGTTCTGTGATCTTCTCGAATGTGTGGCCGTAGTTTGAAACTGCTGGTAGTTCATTAAGTGTATGGGGGGGGGGGGTTCCCAAAAGTGTGTTTTAATGGGGGGGATTCCCAATTCACATGTTTGACGAGACTTCCTCATCCCAGGTGTCAAAGAAGTACGTTTCCAAGGAGCTCGCCAAAGAGATTCACGCCAAGGCAGCTCCCTTCGTCAAGTGGCTGAAAGAGGCTGAGGAGGAGAGTGAGGGCAGTGAGGAAGAGGAGGATGAAGATGATGAGAATGTGGAGGTATGGGTCAGCCTTCGGATCTTGATGCCGGGTGTGCTGCAGCTTCCGCTTTTGGTTTACATTGTGTGGTGCAGCATAACCTAATGCGTGTCCTTCACCCTCCCCTGCAGGTTGTGTACTCCTCCTCTGCCCGGGAACTGAAAGTGGAAACTGTGAAATCAGAGAAACCAGACAAGGAAGAAGACGACATTGACATTGATGCCATTTGAAAGCTGCCATTTTGTGCTCTTCTTTCGGTTCCCCCTCCCGCCTGTTATATCTAGTCCAGCCCGCTAAAGTACAGTGGGGGGGCATATTAATGCTTTGCTGACTGCATCATGACTTAACTTCTTATATTCCAGTCTTCAGAGGCTTTACAGTCTTAGTCATATGATTGGTTTATGGGCCATTAATGTTTATTAACCTTTTGCTGTGATTCCCATGTAATCCAATTAAATAAATTTACATCAGTCTGATGTTTTCTTTTTGTGGTGGTGGGTGTTACCTCTGCGTTGGAGCCTGTCCTGAGAGAAGATGGGGTATTATTCCATGAACAGTTGGCTAATTTCTGGTTTTGGACCTGTAAGTCAATGTTTCTCAACTTAGTCCTTGGTGAACTCCGGACAGTCCACGTTTTTGCTTCCTCTCGGCCCGCACCGCACCTGTATCACTTATTCGGTGTTCCTGATTGGTTGGGAGGGAGCAAATATGTTGGGTAACACTGCTGTAAGTCACTGGGGCATGGATGGTCTGTGCACTCAGAAGCTGCAAGATGTGTCTGTGTTCATAGAGTGGAATTCCTTATAACTCATGTCTGGTGACTTTTTTTTTAGTGACCAGCAGCTCCCAGTGCTCATAACCTGCAGTGTGTAGTCCAAGGAGGTTCAGAGCAGGGATTCATAAATTACAGGGCTGTAACTTTAACTGGATTTTATTACAGAGATGGAAATACAGTAATGTAATGATTGTTCACCCTACCGGTTTGTTCTATCTGGGATGTGATTGAATGTCGCTTGTTACACATCTTTTGAGGTATTCCCATATGGATGCTTAAATAGTGTACGTGATTATTTATTGACATGGTTCCTAATGGGTAGGTTAACTGGATGGAGTAGGTGATCATTGGTTCATGATTCTTCAACAGTTGTAGCAGTTCAAAACATGAAATTGGCACTGTGGCTTCAGTCACCCAAGTGATAATGACTTTTGCTTTTGCTCCCACACACTGACATTCAACAGTGCCATGTGACCTTTTATGGGGTGATGTTCAGAACCCTTATAACCACAACCAGTTCCAATTAGATTATGGGTGTATGGATCAACGTTATGTTTACTTAAATGTTTTTTTTCAATTATCCCTGGGGTAATTGGGATTAAAGATGGTGCTCATGGAACCAACAGTTATAATAGTGTATTTGAAGGATTTGAATTCACAGTTATGGACGTGGACGCAACCAGCTAAGCTGAGCCAAACACCATACAGCATGTTTGTAGGTACATCAATTTAAGTGGGGGGGGTATTCATAAATGAAGAATTAAAATGGGTCATGATATGGGTCTGAAAGCAATACATTACTAGATAACACCCTGATATCTTTAGCACAGGGCTTATATTGACTGAAAAAAATACATCTATTTCATCTAAAAACTCAACAAGTGGGGAAAAAAACAGTCAGAAAGATATTGCCACTAGATGGCGCGGTTGACTTCATTTTAAACTTAAAGGCGATTTTCAAAGGGGAAAACAGGAATTTGACGCAGAATATAAAATAGTCGATTTTGTATTAGTGTGCTTCAACTATATACGTAATATACACAGCATTGTTCTATCTATCTAAATTGTATAATATATTTTCAAATTCATAATCTCATAATCAAGCCAACATTAAAAACCACATCTATCTTACTATCTCCCTGGCTACATCAGGGATCATTGTGAGTAAAGGTCAAATGGTTCAAACTCCTTTCTGATTTCCTGAGTATCGGATGAGCTTCCATGCCTGCGTTTGGTGAAGGCCATATGCAAAGCTGTATATGTGCCAGTGAGGTGAGGTCACTGTAAGGCACCCTGGTATTTTACAGTGAAAATGCCATTCCATGCCTGGGGGGTATGTCACTAATGTTATTTGTTTTAAGTGGAAAAGATCTCATGAGATGATTCATTTGTGAGGCTTCCTCTGCGGTTTGTTGGTTGGTTTCTGCTTGCTCTCTTGTCTGTGTGAATAGAATATTTTGAAGGAGGCCTCAGTCACACAGGAAGTGTGGTGTGTGGGAAGCTGCAGCCCCCAGCCCCCACTCCCCCCTGCCCATAACACACAAAGAAACACAAAGACACCATGAGAAAGTAGATGAACAGCTGAGGTGACCCTGTTCACATCGACATGATGGTTGGTCTGTAAGCTTTTGGTTTTGCCAAGAACCCCCTTAGCAATTTGAATGCAACTGGGCTGATATGTCTCCTGGTCTTGTCAGCCTTGAAGGGCTCTAAAATTGTGTTGCTGAGTGACAGAGGGGAAAATTTAACCTTGCAATGATGTGTGACGGTGATTCTATGATAATCAAACCTGTTTTCTCATCACCTCTGCTTTTGTCCTAAACTTCATTGAAAAGAAAGTTGGAATTTATATTTTGCCTCATTGCTTATTTTTGCAACCCAGATGGAAGCCACCTTTTGGTCATCTTGTGTGTTTTACCACATTTAATCATTTTCACATTTTGGGATAATTAAATGCATCCTAGTTTGAATGCTCAAGTATGTGCTTAGTACAGTTACTGAGTTTTCTCAGATTTGGTGTTCAAGTGGAATGAGAATAGAAGACATGAAAGAAGAGTGTGTGGGACAGAGACAAGCTAGACAGGATGAATTACATCACACAAGCGCATATGCTAAATAAATTTGATCGATTACATCACCCCCCACAAAGGAAAACCGTCCAGTTTATGCATGTGTGTTGCAACAATATTGCAACAAAATACAATCACATATTCTTTTTAAATGTCAGTGATATTATGCTACTCGTCATCCAGTGGATGGGAGTCATCCTTGTCCACGTCCACCAGTAGTCAACTGGTCTTGGGAAACAAGATTGCTGCTCCCTGTGTGGGGGCTCCTTTATGTGGGAGCCACATAAAACAGATTTGTATGGAATGATAAGGGAAAAGAGGCTGACCTAACTTGTCTATCCACACCCTGCCTCACTCTGACTAAGATAAGGACATAGGGCGAGCGGTGTTTGGCGGAGGTAGTATTGTTGAAATTAAATCACTGTTTTACCTGGAAACAAAAGCATTTTCTGTGTGTCCGATGGTGCAGTTGTGAGTTTCTTGTGATCACCTAAATTTAGAGACCTATGGCCACTAAACAACTGAATGTTTCTCAAAGGCTGAGCTGAGTGGGATCGGTGTATGTTCTCTTAGAGAAGCCTTCCAAGGCTCCCACTATTTCTGTATTCAGAAAAGGCCCCAGCAGTCAGAAACAGAGAGCAATCTTATTGGCCCCTGTAGCAAACCATTTATCGGTGCAAGAAACATAAGTAAAAGCAGACTCAGATTAGTGTTGCAAAATTGGTGTTGCACCAGTGAGAAACACCCATACCCTCCGTCTGGCAGTGAAACTCCTCAGGGGTGGTTTGGGAGGTCTACAACCCCCTATGGAGGCATATGAGCAGCCACCCAGACAAAAATCATTTCCACACCCAGATTACGTCACAGTTACATGCTGTAGCTGGTTCTGACACAGCCCCTTATATAATGTATGATGTAAAGCAGGTATTCTGTAAGACCCACAGCTGAAATCTGCTATATTTACTGCCGACAAGTCCCCAGATTTGCCCACACGAGTGTGAACTGGCATCCTCTGCCCCAACCCATATTTTATTCTCCCTGACTGAAATAGCCAAAAATGAAAAGTCTATGCACAGGACTATGTTGCTCAGGTAAGAAAATGTACAGCTTTTGTTACCTATGTGAATTATGCTATCTGTGCAGATAGTAAACATCATAGAATGAAAACTGTATAAAATCACATGACGCAAAAGGGGCGGGTTCGCGGATGACAATCTAATTGCAGACGGTTAGAAAGAAAAAAAAAGTGCAGATTTCCTAAAACGTTTCAATTAAGCATGACCTGTACTGATATCTTGGACAGGTACACCCCCCACTAGTAATCACCCTAGCAACAACAAAAAGCGCTTCTGTGGCAGCGGCGCCAATGAGCTCCATAGGACGCCTCTTTCCTCACTTCCTCTAGTCGTGCTGGGCTTGGCTTGGTACTCTTCAGTCACTGGGCAGCCATCTTGGATCTAGTTATCAGGCAACCCTTACTTAGGAGATGGGAGGAATCGGATCGTCAGCGTCTTCTCTAGACAATCTTTACTTTTGAAAACTAGGGCATTGGGCATCGGAATCCAAGTACTAACTGGACTTTTAACTGGCGTGATTCTGTGGCAAGCTGGCAGGGAAACCCGAGACCGGTTTTACGCGATCCCCTTCCCCTTTTCCTTGTCTGAATGCGGTGCAGTTGTAGAGGGCCTATTTAGTGTTTGTATGTTCACTTTACTTCTAACTGCAAAGGACCGGGAGGATAATGATATTTAATTGAGCTCGGACTATGGTCTGCGTTTGGTCAGCTAACTCTGCACGAAGAAAACACGTTTTTCTTTTATGCGGTTAATTTTTTTGGGGGTGAGAAATAGACACTTGTTTTTTTTTCACAGGTGTTTATGGAATAATGTCGTTGTGCATACAGCTCCGATCGCTACATAATTAGTGTACTCAGGATATCCTCATACATAAGTTTATTTTTCCAAGTTTCCATTGGGCTGCCGCTGGATTTCTTCTTCAAGTCCATGGTCTTCAGAAGCAAGCAGATGAGTATCTGCATTTTACTTCTCTAAGGTGCAGTAAAACCAGTAGATAAACAGAAGTGCCCCTGGAAACTATACATTGATGAAAACAATGTCAACAAGAACGCCACTGCCTACGGTCAATGAGCGAGACACTGAAAATGTAAGTATTTGATCATTTCGAAATGACACAGTTCTCTTTACCCAGGGGTGGGTCATTCGCCGTCGGTTCATGTCACATATTCAACGCAAAAACGCTATTAACCCATTTGCCAAATTGTTTTTTTCCTTTAACGCTGCTTTTATGTCAACAGTTAACCCCTGTGTTGAACCGGATTACCGTATTGTTTCTGCTTATGCTATGGTTATGTTAGTGTGACGCATAGCGCATATGTTGCTTAAACTTCATCACCTGGATAGGGTTTTAAAAACTGACACATTCTCCAAGATGACCGGGCACTAGATGACCAGTAATTATCTCCCTGCTGCCTGCTTCGACAGGACAGCTTTCCCCATTTTGCACCAATGCAGCGAATGAATCGCCCTAATGTCTCTCCTTTGTGTGCGTTTCTATCCCAGAATCCGGTCGTTTGACAGTCAAGCTAACAAACTGCACGCATTCGCTTGCAAATGCAACACGTTCAAATGTAGACTTAGATTTCAAACGTTTATGATTTGACGAGCCGATGGAGTGTAAAATGTGAATACACAGATTGGTCTGATGTGCGACCCTAAATACTGCGGTTGATCTAGATCGCAGCGGTTTTAAAGCGGTTGATGACGCCCGCTTAGTGAACGCACAAGAATTCTGGCCGCCGTTATGTTGCACAGGTTTCAACAAGAGCGCTAAACTACATTTATGTTGAAACCGTTATTTCTGCCTCGGGAAACCGTTCGTTCGCTAGACAGATACTTAAATGCTGCAAACTTAACGTTTCCGCTTGTCTCTTGGGTGGGTTCGCTGGTGTGATGACCGCTAAATGCGCCGGGCTGCGGGTTCCGTCCGCTTATCGGGAAGCCTTCCGCGCGCCTGCGGGTGGCGGGTGCCGGGCAGGGGCTGCGCGCGTGCTTACCTGAGGTCGAGGCGGCGCGAGCAGGCCAACGTACGACCACGACGGAGGCGACAGGCCGGTTCGGTTCGGTACCGTTCACATTGCCGAAACTAACGCCCGCTCGACCGTCGTTGTGAGTGGAAGTGGCTGTAATAGGTATTCAATTTATAACCCAGTAGGGACATGTGGGATTTGTCTCTCTCAGGACTTAAATAATAGTAAGTAGTGCTAGAGCGAGGAACTGTGCTATTTTGGAATACCCAGTTAACTCTGCGGGATTGTGACCGGCAGGGATTAAAGCTCCGAGTTCATGCACTGTGTAAGGTTTTTTCTAAATCATTTTTTGTCACTTTTTTTGGGTACATGATGTTTTTTGGAGTGATCAGATGTAAAGGGTAGATCTGAAGATGATCTCTCTCTGGTTTTGTTCTATCGCATACTTCAACACAGAAATTAGTTTTGTTTCTTACACCCTTTCAGTGCTTATATGCTCTCATAAAGGTATCTTAACACGTGCAATCATTATTTATTGGGAAATTCATGTTCGGTCGTATCCTGTTTTGCTAGTCTGGGTGATAATTGATCTGAAGTTGCCTTTCCCGTTGTACAGTCCGAAAGCTGCTCATGTTAAAAGGCTGGAGCTATGGAAGTGACACTGCTCAGTGTTCTGCAGTTGTCCTGTAGTATTACTTCTGTAATAATCGAGAGGAGCATGTACACTTATGCTATAATGAATGACTGAAGTATATTTAGTGTAGTCCTGTTAGACTTGGAGGCATTGCTCATGAGAATCTGTGTGCTTCATGTACCATTTAGTCTGCATATCAACACAACTGTTGGTTGCTTTCTGTTTCTATGATGTGAACTGACTACCTCTTGGACAAAAGTCCTTAACTTCTGCCCCCTGTTCTAATGGTTTTGCACTGCCCAGTGGTGTTTGCAATGAAAAAATGAAATCCCATCATTTATATAGCATTATATTCAAACCCCGCCTACCCAGGTAGCTGTACCTCACTAATTAGGCGTCATCATTTACGCTGATCTACATAATAATGATAGTAATACTTTATTGATCCCTGTGGCAGAAATTCCTTTTTCACCTACCCCATCTTTCTGTCCATGACACAGACAGGTAGGTGAGGGCAAGCTGGACAGCAAAGTGCCACCACCTGTAGTGGTGCCCATGTGGGCCCATTGCTCAAGGGCCCACAGACCTGACTGTTCTGCCAAGGCTGTGCTTGAACCCGTGACTTTCCAACCACAGGCACAGTGGCTTAGCTCGCTGAATCACACGCTGCTCCTATTTATGCTTCAGAGCCTCTGTGAAGGTCCACTGCCGTATACTTCCTGCAGCCCTTTGGATGGTTTTACTCTAAGCTGAAATGTATTGTTCATAACCGGCGACATACATTCCTGACAGCACACCTCGCACAGTGATGGGCAGACGGAGATTACCACTCGACCTGGACGCTCCGGGGCTCGCTGCCGGAACTCTGTTGCCTCCTGTACGGACGAACAGCCGCACATTGGCAACTACCGGCTGCTGAAGACCATTGGCAAGGGCAACTTTGCAAAGGTCAAGCTGGCACGCCACATCCTCACAGGCCGTGAGGTGAGGCGCAGGCGGATGCTTGGGTGTCCAGTTGCCGAACTCTCAGGCAAACTGCCTGATGAATGCTGTTGTCATTTCACCAAAGTTTCTTTTGTAGTAATTTTAAGTGTTTTGTTTATCTGTTCAGTAATTTACATCTACACTGTTCATCCATCTACAAATCTACATGTTTCTATGCTTATGCTCTTTGACGTTTGTGGTGCTGGGCCTCTGATTATCACAGAATTAGATTTTTTTGTAGTTGTGGGTATGTAAGGATGAAGGAGACTCAAGAATGCGATTCATGTCATCTTAGAAATGTAAGTGAAGTGTATTAATGCTTCTGTATTCTAAAATGCTTTTGTCTTCCTCTAGGTTGCAATAAAAATCATTGATAAGACTCAGCTGAATCCTACTAGTCTCCAGAAGGTAAACTCCTCCATCCTTCTGTTTGTGTACAGGTCCTGATGATTGCTTGTCAGTGGGGGAATTGTGCTTCTCTCTACACATTTCTCAGTGTTTGCAAATGGTTGGCCATTGTGCTGGGGCTATTTACAGCTTGTTTTCTGACTTGTAGTTCTAATTTGTATGCTTTTTGGTCTGCTGCAGTAGACTGTTTCGTTTATTCACTTTGAGCAAGAACACAGGGACTGAATCATCAAACCTCCTTTAAGTTCACCTTTCCCCAGTCACTTTTTCCAGAGCTGGCTTTGTCCTTTTGCCCATCTGTTTCTGTATCTGAATTATGACCCATGTCCTGGGGTCATTATTTACTAATTCGTATCAGCAGCCTGTATAATTCTGAGTACTGAACTCATGCCTAGGGGAGAAATTCTCCAATTCATTGACAAACCAACAGAGGATGTGCAAATGTCTGTTTTTGTATTCAGTAGATTTATCTCTTACTTTACGTATAGGCAATGGCTGAAGCTTGACCTGCGTAACTGTTTTTTTATACACAAAAGCATGTTGCTTCTGGGTAGGAGTTCTTTCAAACCCAAAGATTAGCAAGTAAGTGTTGGACACACAATGTAGTACTGCTTTTGAAATTTAAGCAGCTTCTATGCATGATCAGACCTTTGCTTTTCCTCTGTGTGAATGACGTTTCGCTGATTGATGCTAATGAGTGTCGCTGTGTACAGTTTCTTTTGTGCTTGTATTTTCAGCAACTATACTCCACAGGCTGCAGAGCATTATGGGAAGGGTAGATCCTAAGCTAGGAGTCCTCTGCAGAGTTGGATTTCAACTGTTGCTAATTATATCTGGAGCGTGGAAATAAGAATGAGAGGCTTATGTAACCATGTGGGTTTGAGTTGGGATAGGGGAGTGATCTCAGTTGGGTTAGATGGAAATGTGGTTTTGGTACAGTATGTGGTGTCACTGGTCCTACGGTGTGGAACGCAGAAGCCGTCGGGTGTGATAAGGAGCCAGTCGCAGGCTGCTGGTCAGTCTCTGGAGCCGCATTATTGTGTGTAGTGTTATTGACAACCGACAGGTTGTTGGTACGTATGGAGGTGATTGTTTTCTTCCTCCCTCATGGTTCATAGAGAGGGCACTTGGTAACATGACCGACACAACCAGTGAGCTAAAATTTACGATGCAGCTGCTTCATTCCCTGCATCACCTAATGGTATCTTTTGAAAGCGCCGAAATCATGTGCCTTGGTGATTCTCATGCTGGTACTGTGCTTGGATATTACTGTTGATGGGTAGTAATTACATGATTAATCAGTTTGTGTTCCATTGCTGGGCCGTTAATGCAGTAGCGATATAGTGTGAGTCCCTGCTTCCCATTTCTAAGTCTTGTTTCCAAAACACTTTGCCTGTCTCGTTGTACAGTACAAAGGCTATATCTTTGCCCTAATCCTATAAATGCAGACCACCGGCATCGTACAATCACACCTGAATATTTCAAACTGGGTCAGGGAATTTACTGGAAAATTAGCAATAATCAGACTGTTAGTCCAAAATACAATTTGCAAAGTTCAAGCAGTCTTTGTCAAATGGACAACCAAAACAATCTGAGCATTTTGGATGGGTGATATGGCCAAAATGTCACATCACAATCATTTTGGTTTGAAGCACGATCTGAGATAGCGATCATTTTTTTTTTGTTTGTTTGTAAACCAACGAAATTAGAAGGTATGTAGTAATATTAATTAACCACTTAACCAGCAATCCTTTCCCTGTTTGAAACACTTTTTGTAGCATTATTATAAACTTACTTAAGGTATGTAAAATACTGAACATTTATTTTATTGTGTAGCTGCCCTGTCTATAAACCGTTTACCACGTGACATTAATCCAATATTTTTAGCAGTGCAATGGTATGTAAAGGTGTTTTTTTTAGAACCATGTTAGCTAACTGGTTAGAAAAAATCCATTACGTTTTTAGTTCACAATCTAAGTTGAGATCCACTGAGATGAATAATTGACAAAGTGAGATATAGAGACAGTGCTGGGATGTCATGCAGACTGAAATTGCTGTGTTTCACGTCAGTCTGTTTTTGTTGTAATATTACAGCCTCTCAATATGCTGGCATCACATGATAGGTACTCGCCAGTTTGTTCTGTCATTATAATAAGATTAAGCAGTGCACTTGTAAATGGGCATTTATTGGAAGCTCCAGTTAACTGTACCTATGCCTAGTTGACTCCTTGACAGGAACTATGTTTGTAATGTGCTATTTGCCTCACATACGTCTGTAGCAGCCAATAATTTAATAACTGCTAATAAAGTAGAGGTGGGCGATAAATCGATTTTATTGATTAATTCGAATTTACAGTTCAGGACGATGTGTTTTTATGAAAATCGATTTTATTACTGTACTTATTTTACACGGGAGCGCCAAAAGCAGAACCAATGCGACGCACCGTTCTTCACGGGTAAATTAACACGGCGCACCCAAACACTGTAGTGGATTCACAAACAACATGGCAATTAAATGGTTCGGTTTTGCGCCGTCAAACACAGACCAAACAAGTCCTCGTTGCACAGTTAAAAACTTGCAACCAAAGGAAGCAGCACGACAAATTTATTCCAGCACCTAAAGCAGAGGCACGCAGTGGAGTGGGAGAAGTGCAGCTCCCAGCGAAATGAAAATACCCGCAGCACCAGCACAACATCCAAAGTTAAGCAAGCAACCGTCCAACTTGGTATACGTCCTGTTTGACCGCGAAAAATTTTGCTTTGTATACGACCTTTGTTTGGAATACGACTCGCATGCTAGAACTTGTATGGGTCAAAATGAGTCAGGACACCGCGCGCTACCCTTTACCTCTCTGGAGACAAAACCACAACTGCCCACGAGCATCAGTACACCAGTTGCTACCATTCAGTGAACAACCCGTGCTATAACTCTATTCATTTATTTAATTTAATTGCTTTTGTATTTATGTATTTTAGTATTAAGCAGTGTTTAAATTATTTTATACAACCCCATAAAAGTATAATATGCCAATAACAATAGGATTTTTTTTCATGGGAACGGATTAATCATTTTCCCTTTTATTTCTTATGGGAAAAATTTGTTTGGTATACATCCTGTTTGGTATAAGTCCAAGGATCTGGAACGTATACCAAGGCACCACTGTATATGTTAAAGCAGTTTAACGTAGAGCTGGGTGATATGACTTCCAATCAATATCACGATTAATTAATGTTTTTTTTTCTATGTTATGTATAAAAAGACCCAAAATGAACACTGTAAGCAGACTACTTGATAAGCAAATTATTTAAACAGTATTTATACAAGAATGATTCTGTTTCAAGCTTTCTGAACCACATTTTGATCATAGCCGTGATCACTATAAGCAATTTCCGTTGTATTACTTTCCAGACCTCCGTATGTAATAGTGGTATTTAAACTCGATGTATTCAGCATGTGGGGCCTGTAAATTTAACGTATTTTAATTATTTTAACTTGTTAGCGTCATATATATACAGGCATATAATGTGCCCACTTTATTTTTAATATTTATGAAAGTTGAGTTTTGAAATAGATTTGTCCCCAGCTTAAACCTCCAGTTCTGTTTTATTTCTGTCGCTTGTTTCTCCTCTGCAGTTCCTTCATACCCTCCCAGGAAGGCCCCCTTTTATGTCAGAAAATTTTGGTCATAGTGCAAAAGAGAAATTAATAGAATTTTAAATATTTAAGTGCACAAAAATATTAATGATATAACATTTCTAAACATGGACATTAAGACACAATGGAATGCAAGTAGCTACCTAATTTGCATGGAAAGATTCTGCAAATTGTCATGTAAGTGGAATGTGCAATAAACTAATAAATGTACATTTAGACCTATGTATTACAGGTAAAAACATATTTAATAACTTTTACATTTCCAGGTGATCCATCCAGTCATTGTAGAAATTGTACTTCATTTTCACATTTCCAGGTAATCTAATATTATAGTTACATACCCAATTGTGTAGAATTATATGACTTAGCGACAGGGCTGACTTTCGTTTAGCAGCAATTTTGACATACGGGAACCGTCGAAAGTAAATTAAGCAAAATAATTTAAGTCACAAGCAATGACAGACTGGCTGGGCTTCCCTGAGGGGCTAAATGACACACAAGATTAACCATATATTATTGGGTGAGTCTGTCAAACCTGAATGTCTTCTTTTAAGATATATTTGCGCTGCAGTTGTACTGTTGTGATGTTTAAGTTCTGTTTTACAATACCGGCAGATTGCATTTTCATGCACTTTTAATTTGAAGCACTTCCACATAACTAGGCTTTTATTATTTATTTGGAGCCTCATCTGCTATATACTGTCTTCCTTCCACAATATTGCAGAATATTTTTAATCGATGTTTTAATAATCTAGTCATCATATTTAACTGAAAAAAATGTGATAGCTCTAATTGTACTTCAGATACTCTTAAAAAGAAAGTTATACTGATTGTTGGCTTGTCTATTCCACATGGTTAGCATAATAAGGTTTAACATAATAAGACACCTATAGGTATTGCAATGTGTGTGAAGCATTGACCCTTTAATGCGGAGTGAATGAGTACCCTTTGGGTAAATGACATTGCAGTAATGCTGAAGCGGGATTCTTGTACTTTGACAGTTGGGACTTTAAGGCCTTCTCTTCCATTAATGTCATGCACACTGTTGGCTGCTGAGTCATATGATTATTAAGGTGAAGGAGTGTCTTCACTGGACACAAACTTGTGGTAATTGATCTCATTCCCGTTGGGCCATATGAACTCATGAGATTTGATGATTAAGTAACTCTGTTCTGTGTAGAACGTTAACCTATTCACATTAAGTTATGGTTGTAAAACTCCCCTCTTTGAGCAGGCTTTCTTTAGACCTACTTTACCACTAAATAATTTGAATTTTTCAGATTTTCTATCTGTTGTGACACCTACTTTGCAAAGTTTTTTTTTCCCCCTTCTGATGGTACTTGAT